TTTGCAAAGGAGTTGGTTACATTGAATTTATTGATCCAGTCTCAATTAAGAGGGCGATTGAATTAAATGACTTGTCTTTCGAAGGAAGAAAATTGAGAATTTCCAGAATTTATGAAAAGAAAAAGCTTTCAAAAATGAGAGACAAGAATGAAAATTTAAGCTTGAAACCGCCTAATTTGATAAAAGGAGTTGAAAGATGTTTGAATCCAAAAGTAGAACTTAGAGGAAAAAGAAATAGAAAAGCGGAAATTCTTGAAACAATTCCGAGGACGGAATTATCTAAATACGAGGAGGGGAGAGGTGGTAAGGTTGAGAGCCGGTTAATAGCCAAACGTTCGAAAATGAACGAAATTGAAACATTGAAGGCAACCCAAAAGCCAATTCATGAACTAGGCGTTCGAAACGTGAAATCAAAAATTGTTGTTCCGAGAAATGAAAGAAGTGGAAGGAACTCAATAAGAAATGATTCATGGAGGTGCGGTCTAGGCGACCAAACCCCTAGAAGTCGGCGGAGTGACAATGGAAATTGGAGGGAGCGCGATCTAGGCGATCAAACTCCTAGAAGCCGTTGGCATGGAATTGAAAATCGAAGGGGACGCGGTCTAGGCGACCAAACCCCTAGAAGCCGTTGGAGTGGAAATGAAAATCGAAGGGGGCGAGGTCTAGGCGACCGAACCCCGAGACGCTCGGTCTTTGAGAGAATTAGACGTTATGATAGAGCCGACCCGGAGACCGTTTGTGAACCACCCCTTTCGCAGCCGAATGCTAAGCCGAGGGACTCGTCTTCTTAGAAGGAGGAGATGTGGTGACGCCCAGACTCTTTTGACTTTAATTTTAATTTAAATAAATAAATGACATTGTATCCCTTTTTATGTTCCTATAAAAGAAAATTCTCTCTCCCCAAAATTGTTCATTCCGTTCATTCTGTTCATTTTTGTTATTTATTCTTTGAGTGGTGTTCCCCCTTTTATTTTATTTCGTTTAATTTATTTGTGGAAATTGTATTGCCCCTTTAATTGAAATAAATATTGATTCGTATTTGGACTTGAATTGATTTAAAGAAGGGTTAAAATAAAAAGAAGTAATTAAGAGAAAGCTCTTTTATTTCTCACGGTACATATATTCCAAAAAGACTGAAACGGACAATAGTTTTCTTATATAATCCCCTCTTTCAAATAATTACTTTTTTTATTTATTATTAATCCCTCCAATAATTAAACTGGGTAATTATCTGAAAATATATGGTATCCCGACCACACAACATTCTTGCAGATATAAGTTGCGGACCTTATTTATTCCTCTACATTATCTACTAACATCTGTATTCCTACTAACATACTTTTATTTTTAAGATTTTAGAACTTTCTCCAAAAGGGTATGACGATAGGAGATTAAAAGCTTTTGAAGCTCAATTCGGAAATTTTGAAAATTTGGCCTTAGAGCTTAAAGAAATAATTTCATTAAAAAGAGACATTAAAAATATTAAAAAATTGGAGAATAAAATTGACGAAATTGAAAATAATAAAATTATTGAAATTAAAGGAAAGACTGAGGCATTAAAACAAAAAATTGAGAAAAATATTGAAAATAGAATTAAAAGGTTTAAAAAATAATTATTTATATTAATTTATTTAAATTACTTATAATTACCAAAGACATTTTAGCTAGAAAAAAGGGCCTTTCTATATTTTTCTTTTTATTGTAAGGAAGAGAAAGATCCAGCTAACTAGCATTTAAAACGCTCATTAGGCCGGGGTTTAATTATTTAACTAGACCATCATTGGGATTAATAAAAGGGCAGGTGAAAGGCCCAATTGGTAGAGCACCTGTACGTTATGAGCGAAAGCGCCTAGGAATAGCTGCCAGGAGGTTGCAGGATCGAAGCCTGCCCGCGATTATACACTTACCTGCTCTTACTTCATTTATTACAAAGGTAATCGTGAAAAATTGGGGAGACACCCTAAAAATTTTGGTCCCTAGGAACGAAACAGGTCACAACCGCCAAAATAATGTATATTGGGCTCCAAAGTTCGCTCTTTCTAATCCTCTTGATCTTCATAACATCCTTCTCACGTATTGACTGTTATTTGCAAAACTGACAAAATCCCTTGATTTTCGTAAATCAAAGGCTTTAACAATATTTTATTATAATTAATTTTATTTTTCACTAAAGATTGGAGAAATTAGAACCAGAATTATTTGATAATAAAATAAAAATACAAAAGATGGAAAAAGAGAATAAAGAATTGCGTATATTAATTGAAAATTCTGATTATTTTAATTATTTAAATAATGGGGAAAGGTAGAAAAATAAATTTTTTTTAAATTTTAACTAAAAAAATAAATTTTAGTGGAAGTTCATCAGGAAATCGTTCTCCAGCAAAAAATAAAAATAACAATAGAACTAGACCAGCATGGGGATGAAATAAATAATTTATTTAAACTAGGGTTCGACCGACGTTCACCGTGTGGTTAATTCCCTGGGGGATGTGGGAAGGAATCCCCCATAGCCCCTGTTCCCGCCTCTGATTCCCGTAAAATTTTTCCCCGACCCGAAATGTCGCACCGCAATTTAAGTTATTTTATTTATACATATGTATGTTGTGGTAAGAAATTATAAAACCGCTCCGTTTTCCTTGACCAACTCCAGTTGAATGACCCCTTCTAAACAATGGCTCCCGTTTGTTTTCTTCAAATATAAAAAGATAATTATTCATTTTTATTCACTTTTTTTTATTTTTATTCTATGTTTTGAATTATTATTGAGTATTGTAATTGGATTATTGTAATGCTACGGTTACATAAAAATCGCGCGCGACACGCGACAGAAAAGATAATGTAAAAAGAGGAGAGAAAAATCGCGCGCGATTTTGTCGCTTTTTTCTAGTGGTTACATAAAAAGCGACTTCCGCCGGCGTCTTGTCGCGCGCGACTTTGTCGCTTTTTTGAGTGGTTACATAAACCGCGACTTCCGCCGGCGACTTGTCGCGCGCGATTTTGTCGCTTTTTCTTGTGGTTACATAAAATGCGATTTCCGCCGGCGACTTGTCGCCGGCGACACTTTTTTTGATTCAAACATGTTTGAATTTTTGGCGACACTTTTTTGCGACATGCTATTTCTCGATCAATTCTGATCCGATTTTCAAAATTTAAAAAGATTCTGAAAGTTCAGTTTATTCTCTATCGATCAATATAAATTTTATATTTTTAAAGCTAAATCTTATGGGTTAAAATTGATTTTGAAAAAGGTATACTTTTTGCAAAAAATATTCTTTTTTTTCGATATTTTTGAGATTTTCAGTATACTATCGAGCTATCGAGTATTTATATCATAACTTTTTTATCAATCGGTCAAAAATTCTGATTTTTTGTTATGTTGCTATAATGTAGAGACTTCCAAGACCGAAAATTTTCCAAGAAACAAGGCTCAAGACTATTTTTTGGTCCTATATGGCAAATTTTTGGTTAATTTTTCGTGTCTTAGACACCAGCATATATAATTTCGAAGACTTTATATGAAATATAATCGAAATTCTGTAAAAATACTGGGATTTTGGCACCGAAGCCTACCGATTTTAGCGCCGTGGGCATAAATTTTGAGAATTATGAACGATCCTTAAATCTTCCTTTTTTGAGCCGCAGGCGCAAATTTTGAGAATTTAGAAAAAATTTTTGCATTTTTGAAAAATTTGATTTAGATAAAGGACAAACATTAAACTCTGTGAAAATAAATCATATTTTTGAATAGAAATTACTTTTAAATTTTATAAGAAAATTTTCATTTTGTCAAATTCTAATCCGTGTTTAGACTCCTGAAAAAGGGTCACAATTCTGAGGAATTGTCTGAGGATATTTATCGCACTGATAGATATGCATTTCCTCAAATGCTTGATCTATTTGTAATGATGTATTTATTAAACGTATGCATTCATCTAATCGTCTTGCACCATCTATTACTCCAAATTTATTTTGGGTATATTGAAGTAAGTCGGATTTCCAACGCGGAAAATCCGATATTCATCTCATAAATTTTAGTTTATCTTTTAATATCCAAAGCTGTACAAACAGACATGGATTTTTCATTCATTCTTTCTAGCTTTCTAGCAATTTATTTCTAAATATTAATTTAGAAACTTTAATTTTATCTCGTGACTATGAATAATTTACCCCTCCATTTCAGTTTTATAGTCATTCTTTTTCCGCTTTTTAATTTAAAATATATTGCCATGGTTATTAACTCATACTAATTTAAAATTAACGAATACTAAATTAAATATTAAATTATTTATTAATTTTTGATAAAGCTTTAGCCTTTTTTAAATAATTATTTCAAGTAAAATGGATAGAAAATTGGTTAATAAATGTCAAGTTTGCGATTCTTCTTTGAAAGTTTCACATCAATTCAACGTTAATTGTTGTAGAGTTTGTGCTGCATTTTTCAAGTTTTATAAATTTATTTAAAAAAACATTTAAATTTTAAAAAGGATATATTTAAAAAATAAAAAACAAAAATTTGAATGCAAATGCTTAACAACTTTTGGGAAAATAAAACTAAGGTTGATAGACTGTGAGAGATGTTATCTCAATAAATGCCTTTCTGTGGGAATGAAAGATAAAGGTTGTCCTAAAAGAGCTTCATCTAGACAACAACAAATAAATAAAAGTTGTGAAGAACAAAAGGTTAAAATTGGGTTATTTTAATCATAGTTGGGAATTGTAATTTTGTAGATTGTTGCTGTGATTGTCGATAAAACTTCTAAAGAAAATAAAGAGATTAGTTTTTTATTAAAAATCGCGGAGGATCAGAAAAGAATTTTGAATGCTTTCAATGATTTTAACGATAATTTACTCAACGGTTCACTTTATTGCGAGGATATTATACTTTCAGGCTTTAATATTTTCGATCATGTTGAGAATTTTTCGGTAAATTTGTATTAAAATTTACTTAAAATATTTCCTCAATCTTCAAGCCAAATCCGTATCCTATTTCTCGAGAAGAGATGCTTAGCTGGGAATTAGACTGTGAAAGAGAGGGATTATATAATAAAAGGGCATATAAATGTTTTCTTGTTGATCATCTGGTATGTGTTGCTATTGCAAAATCAATGCCTGTATTCGAAAAATTATCTATAGGTGATAAGGTAGAGACGGATATACCCAAAACAGATTCAACAAATTTTATTAAAGATTGCACTTTGTCGGCACGTATCTGAAATATTTCCAGCTTTCACTGGTTCATTTATATCATGTGAGCTTGGCGTGGATACGAGGACACGTAAGGATTGTGTTATGCCTGCTCTTGGTGTTATTAAAAATAAAGATTTTATTCATGATGAAAAGTAAGCTTTTCCTTATTACTGTAGATATCATTCCATTTGATCCTTCTTTAGCCGATCAAATCCCTTTTATCACTTTCAAATCCCCGATATCTCTTTTAATCATTCAAATCTCACATTTCGATTCCCGGCTTCCGTTTTCCGAAAATTCAGACAATTTTTCGAGTCTTTCGACAGTTCCGATTTCCGGCACTTACGCATTTCAGATCGCTCCATGAGTCAATCCGAGCCATGTATAAATTGATTGTATAATTAGGCAGCCCTCTCCAATCTTTTCTTGCTAACAAAATTTTGAAACATTAGTAGCATATAGTGAGGTCAAACTGTATTTTAATTTTTTATTTTATTAAATTCGATTTAATTTGTAAACAGATTGTATATCCTCGCTGATCGCGTATTTACAAAGTCTATTACTCCTTTCAAAAAAACAGCATTATCTAAAGAAGAATATGCACTTTTAATGGCTATTATATTTTCACATCCGAGTAAATAATAAATATCTTAAAATTTAAAATAAAATATTTTTAATTATAAAGTTGCAAAAGGTCTATCAAACGTAGGAAAAGATTTGTTGTATGAAGAATATTTTCGATACACTAAAATGTTACTTCAATATAATCAAAATAAATTTGGAGTGCTTGAGGGTGCAAGACGATTAGATGAATGCATACTTTTAATAAATACGTCAATACAAATAAATCAAGCATCTGGTGAAATGCATAGCTTTATGCGTGAGAAATACTCTTTTACATTTCCCAAATTTTTTAAACATTTTTGAATCCTAATATTAGTAATTGGATTTTTTATAAAATTATTATTTTATTTTTGGTAATCAAACCCACGCGCCTCGCGGGGAGTCAATGGTCGCTGGGTTCTGCACGGAGTCCATAGGTAAGAATATAAAACAAACGATCGTAACTCTGTCCAAGTTTTTTACGGTGATTTGGTGTCATTGGAATACTCATAAACTTTTATTTTGACTCATAAATTTTATTTGGTTTTTTTACTAAAAGAATTTTGTGTGTCCGTGCTGGACTCAAGATTTTTTTTCGGATTTTTCAAAAAATTTTTATTAATTTTTTCTTTTTGATAAAAAATAATTTAGATGACATTTTAAAAGGGCTAATAAGGTAAAACTCAGGCTTATATTTTTAAATTTCTGAACCGGGGCAGGGAATTCCCCGGGGAACGTGTGGAGGTATCCCCCAGTTCCCGCTTCGTTTTCCTTGACCAACTCCAGTTGAATAACCCCTTCTAATAGAATGGCCCCATTTTTTAATTTTCAAATATAAATTTTGAATTTTTTAATCTTCAATATATGTATATTCTTCAAATATAAATATAATCAACCTAAAATGATTTTTACACTTTTATTTTCATTTCATGTTTTGAAATATTATTGAGTATTGTAATTGGATTATTGTAAAGTAGTATTTAAATTTTCGAGTATTCATAAAATATTCGAAAAAGAGATATTAAAAGGATTTGGAATGAGGGAAGGTCGGTGGATTTGGAAAGATTAAGGAGATTTTTGGGGAAATCTTGATTATTAGGTGTTTGGGAAAAGTATCGTCGATATCGATATATATATATCCTTCGATATCGCCTTCAAATCATCATACTCATTGTTAATGCTCACAACGATCTCAATATCTCCGCCATTTTCTGAAAATCCCCAAATTCCTAATTAATTTCCGAATTAAATTCTGAAGTTTTAAATAATTTCCGAATTGTGGACCATGATCAAAGAACCCCCAAGAAAGTCTTGAGACAAGACTCAAAACCAAAAGTAAAAAAAATAGTACATTACTTATTTTAGAAAATTTTATTAGAATGGAAATTACAGTAAAAACCATGTATAAATTTTTTTGCATTTTTTGAAAAATTTGATTTAGATCACGGCTGAACATTAAACTCTGAAGAGTTTGTTAAAATAAAAATAAGTTAAATTTTTGGATAGCAATTACTTTTAAAAGATTTTATAAGAAAATTTTCATTTTGTCTAATTCCAATCCTTTACTCTCCTAAAAAAAGGTCAGAATTTTGAAGAATTGTATGAGGATATTTATCACACTGATAGATATACATTTCCTCAAATGCTTGATCTATTTGTAAAGATGTATTTATTAAACGTATGCATTCATCTAATCGTCTTGCTCCTTCAATCACTCCAAATTTATTTTGAGTATATTGAAGTAACATTTTAGTGTATCGAAAATATTCTTCATACAACAACTCTTTTCCTTGATATGATAGACCTTCAATATCTTCATAAATAAAAATATTTTATTTTATATTGCTTTATACTTGGTCTTGAAAATAAAATAGCCATTAATAGTGCATATTCTTCTTTAGATAATGCAGCTTTTTTAAAAGGTATAACAGATTTTGTAAATACTCGATCAACCAATGTAAACAATCTACATATTTAAAAGATAAATTTAAATCGAATTTATTAAAATAAAATATAAAAATACAAAATGACCTCACTGTAAGAATACACCCCATTTCTTCAGATACAGAGGTGTGCGAGTGGCAGGCTTATACATACTATACATATACCCCCTTTATCCATCTAGATACTGACAAATCCAAATATACAAATAATCGTACAACACCCTCCATATATCTCTTTATCCCTCGTAAAATATATATTCACCTCACAAATCTGTCTATATCGGAATCTAGGGGTTATACTCTAAATCCTTCTTAATCCCTCAATATCTCTCCAATCCTTGCCAAATATCAGTGGAATTAAGGAATAATAGAACATTGTAAGAAAGATGTCGAAATTTTTTGCAATATACCTATTTCAGTTTATCTTAAACATTTTTATTTTTTTCAAATTGTTCATTACCAAAAAATCGGTACTACCGCGGTACTGGAAGACTTATCGGTACATACGGTACGATTGTACGAAAAGTACCGGTCCGGTAGTACTGTCAGTACCGCAATTTTACCAACCGTGCCGAACCTAGTCCAGGCACCTTCAAAGCATATAAGGTGTATTTTTCATTGAGGTACAACAGTGTATGTAGTAATAAGAAAAATGCTTACTTTTTATCCTGATTAAAATAATTATTTTTAATAACACCAAGAGCAGGCATAACACAATCCTTACGTGCCCAGGTATCTACGCCAAGCTCACATGATATAAATGAACTTGTGAAGCATGGAAATATATCTGATACGCGACGACAAAGTGCAACCTGCAAAAAAATCTTTAAAATTATTCAGTCTAAATCAGAGTACTTTGTCAGTTATAGATAATTTTTCGAATACAGGCATTGATTTTGCAATAGCAACACATATCAGTTGATCAACAAGAATACACTTATAAGTTCTTTTATTATAAAATCCTTCCCTTTCATTGTCTAATTCCCAGCTACGCATTTCTTCTTGAGAAATAGGATAAGGATTTGGCTTGAAGATTGAGGATATATTTTAGATAAATTTTAATACAAATTTACCGAAAAATTCTCAATATGATTGAAAATATTAAAGCCTGAAAGTATAATATCCTCGCAATAAATTGAGCCGTTGAGCAAATTATCGTTAAAATCATTAAAAGCATGCATAATTCTTTTCTGATCCTCGGCTATTTTTAATAGTAAATTAATCTCTTTACATTCTTTAACAGATTTATCAACAATCACAGCAACGATCTACAAAATTACCCAAAATAAAATTTTTATTACACTTGTAGGTGGTTGAAAATACTTTTTAAAGACGTCTACTCCCAGTTTTCCGTTGATTTTTAGGTCTTTGGATTTCGATGTAGGGGTTAGAACTTCGTTTCTTTTGTATTTTCGATTCATATCACTAAATATGTTCACAGGAATTTTTTTAGATTTTTCGGACGACACCTAATTTCGAAACAGTACGGGTGTTAATAATTATCTGACAGTCGTTTTAACGAAATTTAATTTATTCTCTCTACTATCCATATTTATTTTATAAATGAAGGTTTTTTTCTGTTCAATATGCATCAGAAAATTCTAAAAATATTTGAAATTGTGATATACATATTAACTTTAATTATGTTTTTATTCAAAAACTAAGGTGTGCTTATAATTTTCTGACAGAGACTACAACCTTTTATTAAGGATTTTAATCGAAAATGATTAAATAATCCCCAATATATCCCCAAATTAATTTTTCTCTATATTTACCACATTTTGAGTGTTACAAAAAGGATCAAGAGTTCTTACATTTTGTTCATCGCAACTTTTATTTATTTGTTGTTGTCTAGATGTATATTTTCTAGGTTCTTTCATTCCGACAGAAAGGCATTTATTAAGATAACATCTCTCACAGTCTATCAACCTTAGTTTTATTTTCCCAAAAGTTGTTAAACATTTGCATTCAAATTTTTGTTTTTTATTTTTTAAATATATCCTTTTTAAAATTTAAATGTTTTTTTAAATAAATTTATAAAACTTGAAAAATGCAGCACAAACTCTACAACAATTAATGTTGAATTGATGTGAAACTTTTAAAGAAGAATCACAAACTTGACATTTATTAACCAATTTTCTATCCATTTTACTAGAAATAATTATTAAAAAGCTTTATTGAAAATTAAGCATAAGTTCATTTAATTAATGGGTCTGATCTAGATATAGACTTAGCCAAGATTAGTCCGCGGAAACAACTTTGGGCCGAGATATAGGGCTCGAAATGTTCCAAAATCATAGGGGAAAGTAAGCTCATTTTAAAGTGATTTTCGTTGATTTTGGTCTCTTTCGAGTCAGCTCGACGAGCTCTTTCGAATGAGATATAACTGCCATATTCAAATTTTTCACCCCCAAAAATGTGCTTGGTCCCTCCTATGGTTTTTCGAACTTTAGGGTGATGTATCACTAAATGATTAAATGGTATTCTAATTCACATGTGTGATTCTAAATAATGGTTAATTATGAAAAGAGGCATTTAATTAAATACATTACAATGTAGTACAATTCCGATAGTATTTGTTTTTAAATTAAATTTTAGCGCGATTTGTCTGTAATACTATATCCGCAACTAAAGTAGCTAAAATACTTTTATTTGTATTAGCGGCTTTTGGATCTTTGAGCTAAAGCCAGCCAATATTAATCGCCACAAAACTTAACGAGCTGTATTTTTTGACACACAAAAGGTCATGTTCTAGCTTTATCTATAGAGA